TAAATATTTATAGGTCCCTGAAACGTTTGCCTATAACTGTTTTATCACTTCATATTACAGTTATTTCCTCAAAAGTTAGAAGAATCACCTAGTCAAATTAATTTTTCAGACAACTAAGAACTTTCTTGAAGCTTTCAGGCCATTATACTAACAGTTCGCCACCGATTATTTAAAATTCTGCTTTGCTGTTATGTCTCATATTAGTCATTTGGTATATTTCTTTATTCACCCTAAGCAATACAATTATACAGAATTCAAGCAATTAATTTTGAAATTCAAAAGAAAAACGTGTGGAATAATGAAAATTATTGTCAGAATATCGGTCAACTTCTAGAATTGTTTTATTCAATCAGACAAAAAGATGAGATGCAAAACTGATTGAAAATAAAAACAATAAAACAAATCCTGTCAAATGAACAAAATGATTTGTTCTTATCAATAAATATTTTGAAATTAATTAACAAACTGATAAAAATTTTAAACTATTTACTCACTTGAAAGTGCGATTTATAAAAAAAAAATATTTCCGCTTTTTTGTGGTGGTGGTGGGGGACATCCATTATCACCTATCAATATCGGTGGACAGTAGATTTCGAAAGCGTGTGATTCATTATCGTTTCCATTACAAAATGTCCAATATCTACACTAATTTCAGAAAATTAAACCAAAATTCTAAGCTTGCCAATGATTAGTACACATTTAAGTAAATCTTAATATCTTGCTTTACTGTAAAATATAATCCGTTTAGATATAATCATTTTTTATCAGTATCACCCTATACAAGACAGTAAAGTAACTAAGATACAAAGAATTACAGGGTGTAGAAGAATTCGGAACATAAATATTAATAATAAGTGGGAATAGAAAAGAGTAATCAGGAGGAGAGTAGATAGAGATTGACATTGCATTTAAATTTTTGTAGATTAAAGTTGCCTGAAAAGCATGGAACCAGAATGGAGTTCCACAAGCGAGAAGTGTAAGAAAGCAAAGCGTTAGCGTAGAATCCATGGCTGCATTTAGCCAGTTAAATTGGTGAGGTCTTGACGCCGGCCTAGTATTGTGCTTAAATTTAAAAAAAAAAGGTCTAGGTACCATAAGGAAGACTTCATCCGAACAATTACAAAGAAAGTATTTATAGAAAGGACACAGAGAGGCAACTTTATAGAAAAAGGATTGAAGCCGAGCTGCCAGATTAGAACCCATAATATTGCTCATTCTTCTTTGGATTTTATCACGAAGTCCAAGGTAAATATCATTGGTAGTGGGCCATATGTGGCAGCAAGATTCTAAGTATGGACGAATGGTAGACTTATTGATATGTAAGATAGATTCTGGAAGTTATTTGCTATTTGTTATTATTTATTAATCTGAGCTCAGTTTTGGAAACTTACTAGTCAAGGTCAACGAGACTCGATCGTTTAGTATTTCACCATGCAGAGATATTACAGTTTGTATATAATTTACTGGTTAATCTGAAAACGTTGCTTGTAGCCACTTTTACTGTAAGAGTTATCCGTGTGGGAACAAGGAGCCAGGTTCAAATTTCGGGTGAGGTCCACGCTGTAAGTTTCACACAAGTTCCATTGAGAAAGACATGAGTACATTACTTCTTCCCCAATTTATGGTTTAAATATCAAGGCATGCTGGACTCTCTAACCTTGGTTGCAAAACCAGTCAAAGCCAATTGGGCATAAAAGCTACTTGCTACTGAAAACACAGGGATACCAAATAAAGTGGTGTATCTATAGCACTATTTATCTTGCCCTATCAATCTTTGTTAGCAATGCATGAATGCAAGCCTTGAAATCAACGTTTGAAATTCAGACATTTAACTGACTCGAAGACTTCTGCATATACAGGGTGTCCATAAAGTTCGTGTGCACTTTAAAAAATTTATAACTATATATATATAATTCCAAGGGGATAGAATCCAGGTAGAACTCAATGTCCAGGACAGATTAAGAATATAATAAAAAAAAATAAACACTAATATTCCATGGTTATAATTTATTACATCGTAATTACGATCCAATTCATCAGACCTACAAATATATATATACACACATATGATTTCTGTGATCTTAGAACTTGTTAAAATTTCTGTAATTTCTGTTAATCTTAGAACTTGTTAAAAACCAATATGTTACATCCTTTGTCTAGAATCTTCCTAGGTATCTTTCTGGAAAGATCATCCCAATCTTTGGAATAAACAAAAAAACTGATGTTTTATTCCTTTTCTAGAATAATTTGGATCATTCCTTCCCGTGACCACACGTTTTGAACAAACAGACTAATGTAAACAAATTTTCGAATTTAATTTCAAAATTCTTCTTTGTCTAGAATAATTTGCAAGAACATACACATTTTGGAGAGTTGGTATAAAGTAAATAAACTTTTGAATCTAATTTCTCAGGACAAAAGAAACTCAGACAACACTTTAATCATATCGTCTTTTTATCAGCGGAACGTGGATAGAATTAGGACCTTGGATTTGTTCAGTTTTACTGAATCTTGTCTAGTTAATTCTGGTTTCGATCTTCCTTGGAACCTGTTTCAAAATGGCTGTATTATTTGAAAAACTATTTTTTACATCGCGTCATTTATCAGTTGTACTCGCCTGGTAATTCGAATAATTATTGTCCAGTTAGCAGTCCCTCTAAATCACCATCATATAATTTCATGCAATTAAATGTTTAAACAGGGCCAGTGTCCTGTTAGAAATAAATTAAGGGCTACAAATGACAGATAATTTTGAAGATTCGTGATCGCTAACGTCCTGAAGAGACATGGCACGAAGAAGAAGAAGAAGAAGAAGAAGAAGAAGAAGAAGAAGAAGAAGAAGAAGAAGAAGAAGGAGGAGGAGGAGGAGGAGGAAAGAAATACATCTATTAATTAAATCAATTGATTTATTTGAATCTGACGAGTGGTGTATCTGCGAAATTCAAAATCCGAAAGACAAGCATTTTAACTTTTCGTTTTCGATCAAGATAAAAGAAAGCATGTAAATATTAGCATGCATTCGTAATACCGCCTGTTTTAATCAAATATATTTGCATAGCTGCTACCATAATGCAAAAGCTCACATATCCGTATTTGAATTTTCATATACTTGTATTTTGATTGGTCATTGTAGCTTATTGTTGAAACTTGGATAAGCATGGAATAATAATAATACAACACAAAATGTACGTTAACAAAATGTATTGAAACAAGGAAAAGGTACACAATATTTACAGTTAGTTTTGGTATATTCTTGGGAAGACTGTTCCTGCATAATGGGTTGACTAAATCGCAGTCGGGTAGAGTCTCTCGATTCGATGTCTTCTTCTTCTAACTACTTCCGGTACCAACCCATATTTATATGGTCGGTACTCCACTTATGTAAATTAGGTGTATCGTACACAACACTTATGTAACAGCGTTTCCCCTATTGAGGGATGTTTGCTTGATTTGAACCTTTTAAAACTTTTTATTCTACATTGAACACTTGAGAAGTGTCGAAACAAAATGGCTATTTTTGTAGTGATGTTATATCATGTTTATGTTATAACTTTTGAATATATATATATATATATATATATATATATATATATATCTGCAGGTACGTAAAAAAACAAAACGATACAAAGGTTTTATGTGAATTTTAAACAATCAAAAATCGTTCTAGAAGCTTTATTTTAGTTTTAATTTCGACATAATAGATCAAGTTTAATATTTCCAATAGCAAAATATTTCAAAATGAATTTAAATTGATTGGGACAAGTTTTTAATGGCTAAAACAGCTGATTTACATATTCAGAAACCTCTAAGCAAAACGTAATTCTCATTCAAACATATATATACATATATATATATATATATATATATATATATATATATATATATATAAATTGATGTGCGCCTTTCACTGGATATGAAATAAAACGACGACATTTTAAAGGGTAAATAAAATGTATGAAATTCCTATAGAGGATTGACAATTTTCTATATTTTCCTTTGCAAATGGAAGCAGCTGTAAACACTCACAATTGATAAGAGTGAAATTCAATGCTATCAAGTATCTTTCATGGATTATATTTGCATTTATCGCCTTTTGAAAACTCCATCTTTTAACCCTGCCGTTTACTGTTTACAGATCGTAGGCGTATTTACGTCAGAATGAGACAATTAATAATAAACACCAAGAAAAGAAAACCAGAGGCTTTTGTGCTGCTCTGTTAGTCTCAGAGAGCATTTTAACAAGAATTCTTTGAAATGTTTTTTTTTCTTTTCTCCCAGGAAGCTGACGTTTGACAAGGTAATTTGATTTAGCATAGGAAGAAGGAAAAGTGAGGAATTGCGAAATCTGTAAGTGTTGCCATTTGTGCTATCTGTGAGGTTAACACTGGGACGTCCGGTGGAATATTTGCCGGTACTGCATTCATAAATTGCCATGTTGTAACATCATATACGAAATTAAGTCAGCGACATACATTGGTATGAATATCTATCTATCTATCTCATCATCATCTTTCGGCCTCAGCCGAGATTGAACTCACTACACCTTTCCAGTATTCCTTATCTGTCATAACTAATACTTTGATTGGTGTAGTTCATAATCTTGTCAAATAGCTGAATGCTTCGCTAGGGCTATCAAGGGTGTTTTTATCGTGACACCAACACTAAATGGATTGCCAACCAAGGCTCAGAGAGACTCCATTCACCCTCGTCTAAGAGCAGGTTTGAATTCAGAGTTTTCCTTCTCCTAGACCAGTTGCCATCCAAGACTATAGAACCCAGTCTGTCCTGCTATTTACCCATAGCTGGAGGGAGAAGAAAGAGGATTCACACCTTTCCCAAGCACGTAAGTGAATGTAATGGATTCGACAGGAATTCGAACTCGGCTCTCCGATTCCTCAATCCAAGCCGCTATCCATTACTCCACCGTGCCTCCCCCTCCACCGTGCATCTATCTATCTATCTATCTATCTATCACACAATTTATCCGTATATCACTATAGTCATATCTATCTATCACATTTATCCGTATATCACTCTATTCATATCTATCTATCTATCTATCTATCTATCTATCTATCTATCTATCTATCTATGTCTGTTCATATCTATCTATCTATCTATCTATCTATCTAGCTATCTATCTATCTAGCTATCTATCTATGTCTGTTCATATCTATCTATCTATCTATCTATCTATCTATCTATCTATCTATCACATTTATCCGTATATCACTCTATTCATATCTATCTATCTATCTATCTATCAGTATATCACTCTGTTCATATCTATCTATCTATCTATCTATCTATCTATCTATCACACAATTTATCCGTATATCACTATAGTCATATCTATCTATCTATCTATCTATCTATCTATCTATCTATCTATCTATCTATCTATCTATCAGTACAGGCCCACGTGCGAGTTGAGATGTATGGCTACCTTGAAAATCAACGTTCAGAATGCAGACATCTAGTCTTGAAAACTTCCCCTTCGACCTGCTGGAAAAAAAATGCAGCGATCTATCGCCTTTAAACAGCTGTTTTCTAAATATGTCTTTTTTTCTCTTTTATGACTTCTTAACTATTTTTTTATCTACTTTTATTATAAACGTACGCACACATGTATGCATACTTGCTCTCACGGACAAACACTTACTAGCAGGGACTCAACTTTCCATTAGACACACACGTGCACACGTTCTGTTTCTATCTCTTTCACACGCACATAATGGCACCCTTCCCTCCCATATATATATATATATATATATATATATATATATATATATATATATATATATATATATATATATATGAAGATTTGTGGCTACTTTCTGGATTTGATATGGAAGGTCTTTAGTCTCTGTTCTTTGTATAAACCCTTGTCGTTATCATAAGAAAACACTTTGAAGGTTAACATAAACAAGAAAAATTGGTGGACCCTCAACGAAAACCAACTCCTGAACGACAAATAGTATGACTTTCGTTCTTCTAGGTCCATTGCTGATGTTCTAACTTCTAACTTCTCGTATAGAATCAGTGAAACGCTTGACAACAAAAGATATCTTGACAGTGATTGCCATTGATATCTCTGTCAACAGTCTTCTCATTTATAAAGTCTTTCCTGTCAACTAGGTCTATAAAGGTCGTCGTTAATGGACAATCCTCTGAGGTACATGAGCCTAAGTTAAAGGTTGGTTTCCTCCATGGCTCTCTTTTTGATCCTCCCTTCTTTCTTCTTTATATTAACTATCAACCTATGAAAAACCTATCAGATCCTTAGTAAATATATATGCGGATAACACCACAGTTTATGGTATCACCTCCAAATATTTCGATAGCAAATACCTGACTTATATAACACAGCTCAATGGGGAAAATACTTGCTTGTATTATTCGACATTAAAAAACTATACAAGTACCATTTCATCACCACCTAGCAGACCCCAAACCTAGACCAATCCTGATGAGTGGTTATACCCTCAAAAACGAAGCACATATATTCGTAGCATCGAAACAGATCCGAGAAGAAAGTTCGGTTCTGTGTATCACCCCAGGAAGTACCTAAGACCCGTTAATTTGGTCTTTTCAAGAGTCAGATCAGACCAGAGAGCATTGGTGTCACATCTTGTCTCATGCTGAGCGTATCCTTATTCACCACCCTCGACTGTGGTAAAAACCTCTTACGCGGTCTTGTAGGTGATTAATTATACCACACCATGCAAACCCTATCCCATAGACAAAACGTTGCCAGCCTCTCACTATTTTATCGCTATGGCAGATGTTCGGACGAGTTACATTCCCTTCTTCCACCAATTCAGACCTTCACGGCTAACACACGTCGTGCAGTGTTCACGGTTACAAACCATCGCCATTCCCTTAGTGCTCGTTTTATAAGGAGCAAGTGTTACTCAGGCAAATTCTTCCCCATAACTCTTGCTTTATGGAACAGACTTCCAAGTAGATGCTTCCTCTAATCTTCGTCTGTTCATGTCCAAGTATTTAGCGATATCAATCATATATGTCTTTATAATATAAATTCTACCTTCCTTCTTACAAAAAATTCACTCATTAACCCTATATCTTGAGGCGTTCTTGAGCCTTTATTGGGTTTTAAATAGAGAAAAGTAAATGCCATATTTTTTAAAAAAATTTGATTGCTACTTAACTATGATGCTGGAACTGTTTATCTTATTGGTCCATTATTTTAAAGAGAGAGTTAAAAAAAACTGCTAAAGTTTGAAGAAAACTTTATGCAGTGATGGTTTAATTTTGTTATCATTATTGTTACCGAATATACGATAAAAACATTTAAGAATCCCTCTTGCCGGAAGTGAGGTAGTAAATTAGTTTTAAAAAAGAAATGGAACCTTTAAATGTTTCTGTAAATACAGACTTCTATACACAACATTTTCAGTAATAAAAGCGGTGACTATAATAAATTTAAATTCACAGTACCTAAAATTCAATAAACTATTAGAATACTTAGATTATTTTCCTAATTTTTAAAAAAAATACTGGCTAATTAATAAATATATATAAAAAAGGCACTTACATTAAATTCATCAAGCTATCATTATAGACATGTCCCCCGTAAAAATGAATTCCGAGTATATGTCTTTCGATATAGTTGTGAAAACCTCATCAAAAACACCCGCCTCCATCTTAAAAATGCTTCTTCTGCAATATTTTTCACTAAAAGTAATATTTGTTTCATATCAGATTAATTAAACTTTAAATCAGCTGATCTTACTCAAAGTTTTAGTAAATTATATTTTATTTTTGGAAGACTTTTTTTAATACAGAATTACATTGCAATAAAAGACAACTATAAAAAGGCACTAATCAGCTATTTTAGAAAAAAAAAAATCCTTCCAGTGAATTTAAATTAGTTTTTGAAAGAGAGTAAAGTATTTTGCTTGTTGGATTTATTACATTTAATCTATTAGCTTGAAGTTAAAATAAAATAAAAGCTTCATGAACGATTTTTCATTTTTTTAAAATTTACATTAAACGTTACGCATCGGTTTTCTTTAGACGTATCTACGTTTATATATATATATATATATATATATATATATATATATATATATATATATATATATAGAGAGAGAGAGAGAGAGATAGATAAACCTAGTGAGCCAGACAAACCTACCCAAGTTTCACCTAAGCGGATCGTCAGGGTATTGGCAAATCAAAAATTCGAAGTTTTTTCGAAACGAGTATAGTTTATATATATATATATATATATATATATATATATATATATATATATATATATATATATATATATATATATATATATATATGTCTGTGTGTGTGTGTTTGTGTGTTTCATAATAATTTATCATTTTTGACCTAGAAACGTCAACAGAACGCAGAAAAGCACTGGACGGCCGTTTCGTCCTATTTTGGGGATTCATCAGCAGTGCGCATCCACTACCAAGAATCGAGCCCGGACCGTTATGATACAACGCAAGCATCTATATCACATATATAGGCGTGCGTTGGGTATCCCAAGGCGGCGTAATGGTTAGCAAGCTTGTCTCGCTAGAACAATTACAACTGAATAGTGAGTTCGATCCTCACTGGGTACCTCAAACTTTAGGCCTTGTGCCACATCTAAGCTAAGCTTGAAAAATCAATATATGCGTGCGTGTGTGTCTTTGTATGTATGTCAGCGCACACGCATATAATTAGCTTTCATGTCATGCCCTTCTACACACGTAAGTCAGTTACATAATTTGGCACCTATTTATCTAGCTAGCTATCATAGTCTTCTGCATATATCTAGCGATCTGGCTATTCAACCTTTTAGATTAATAGAATCGCAAATCGAAAGCATTAACGTGACTTCACCTGTTAATCAATAACCAATTCTTTACATCTACCGCTTGAGTGATCGTAATTAAAATCACCACACTTATTTGCCTTCTGATTCGTTTTACCTATCAATATATATTGGATTCTCACACTCTTATTTACTTTAACGATCTGCGATCCGATCAATATTAATTTGGTTATTTCTATTTATGCTATGAACACTCTTTTAATAATTACCTTAATCTATCTATCTATCTATCTATCTATCTATCTATCTATCTATCTAAGTCAAGTGATAGCGATTGCTGTATGAGTCGTACGATTTTTGAATCAAGCACAGGCAACGCCGGGGCATGCTGCTCGTTGCACATATAAATGAATGTATGTATATGTGAGATTTACATAAGTGTATATGTGGTGTATATATGAAAAAACAATTTTTTAAATATTACTTTCAAATATTACTCCATCTTAATTTGAAACCTAAACTTTAAGTGAGAAAGATTACCCATCTAAAAATAGTTACAAATTACATTCATGAATTAGATTCAAACTGATAAAGATGTTACCTTAACAGTCATTTACAATATTAAAAGATTACTATCAGTAAACTTTTATATTTTAAGTATTTTTTTAATGTGTTTTTTATTAATGTGTTTTTAAATATAGTATTTAACTCATATTAAATCCCTAATTTATTTGTAAAAGAGTTAAATATTTAAATTGCTAACAAGCATTAAATTAATTTCTTCGTGGATTTTTTTAAACATTTAAATTACTTTCAAACATTAAAATCTGTTTTTTACCTAAATTGCTAAAACTATACCACCCCTCTTCTTCCTTCGTAAACTCTAAATCCATCTCCTTTCTCTTTACTTCCCCCTTCTTTCTTTTTTCTTTTTCTTTTTCTCTCTTCTCTCCTTCCCTTTCAACATATTTCCGTTAAGTTAACCGATCAAATAGGTCAATGTCAGGTCCCTCCTTCCTCAATACTAAGTATGATAGAAAGAAATATTAAAACAAACCCTCTCTAAACTAGACTATGTCTCTCACACCACTCCTCGCTACCCTCTCTGTTAAATTACATAAAATTAATACTACCCGTCAAAAGTGTGAATTTTCATTTTTCGTTTCACCTTTTGGAAGTGATGGCTGATGATCCAGGGTACTTTAAAAGGTCTCTGGTGAAATAAAATATTAAAATGGAGCCTTAAAGTGGTCTATTTTTCTTTTAATATATATATATATATATATATATATATATATATATATATATATATATATATAACTAAAATACATCCTAAAGAGCCAGGACAACCTACCTAGGTTTCATCTAAACGGATCATTAGGGTAAGCCGGCTTAGGATTTATTTTAGTTATTCCTGCTCTACTTAGCATATTGAGCACTCTACGTTTTAGTCTTACTAATCGCTTGAGGTTTTTTTTGCGGGGGGGGGATTAAAGACTTAAAGGCACTGGTCGATTGTTTCGCCCTGTTCGGATGTTTTTAGTTCTTTCTTTTTTTATTTCTAATTTTTTTTCCTCAGCTACCGATTTGTTTTGATATATCAAGAAGTTGAGCTATTTGAGGTTTTCTTCCAAACAAGTATTAGTATATATATATATATATATATATATATATATATTGTTATTC